TGTTTATGGTTTCATATAAAACATGTAACTAATCTACAGTCTTATTTTGTTAAGTTAAGTTAACCCCTTTTTATGGATATTTTATCTTTCAATTGACAAAACCACAAGCATTGTTGTTTGCATTAATTTTTCATCACTACATAGGCCTACTTGGTTTCAAATTATGTCATTGCATTTTCTGTATCTTTGTACATTGTTGGCGTTCAGGTTTCAATTTTTTTTATTTCCCATATTTATTTATTGCGTTGTATGCTTTAAGCAATCTAAATCTTATGAACTAGAATGATGATATTGTTGTGACTTTGCTGATATTATAACCTCATTGTTTGTTACTCAGTTTATATAGGCCCTCCTAAATAATTAGGCCTAGGCCTGGGTATTTTGATTCTTTGAAAGAGCTGTAAAATATACTAAGAAAATGTAATTGAGCCTAAGATAAACTAATGATTGCTATGTGTCGATATTAACTTTGCTGATGAAAAGACAATAATCTTACTCTTTGCTTACCATACCGATTTTGTACCTAGAACCGAGTTACCTACAATATATTCATTATGCATTACACATTTTTTTTTCAAAAATAGTCGAGAACCTAACGTTGTGCCAGGGCGAATAATGCCAAATTAATCCGCCTGGATCGGATAAGCTATGTTATGATGTTTCCGTGACCGATGGAGATATTTAGGATTTTGTCGCTATTGCAGGAGACAATGATTGCGTTTTTCTGTTACACTATAAAAGCTGTACCTAAAGTATATGTTTGTTTACTTTCAATAAGTTTCTATTTTGAAATTTAATTTTTGTCTATTATTATTTACTTTTTTCTCTGGAACAACTACAATGAAGAACAAGATTAATACAGTTTGACAAATCAGGAATATTATTCTGTAATCACACCGACAAAAGTCCTTAAATGTACGGGAATTGTCCATGAATTTTTTATCCAGAATGTAGTAGACACCCTGGTTCCATTCTAATAACTGAGCGGAGCGAAGCAAAGTTCTTTGGGATAGGTTTCAATGCAAAACTTTGTACAGTAACACTATCACACTCAATAACGACTAAACATATTTTTGCCAAACATACCAAGCTTTTCCGACAAATGTTTGGAAAGTTTTGAACGAAACAATCTCAATTTCTAATAATGCCTATAAAATGTAAAAGTAACTCAAAGTATTTCAATTGTAACATTTACCTTGTGTGTTGCCATGATGGTTACAAAATGACGTAAAAGTAAATAAAACTATTAATCATACCATACCTTTTATAATCGAGCCAATATACTATATAAACATAGTAGAGAGGACAGACATTCGTATGATGATCACTGATCAAATAATACTGACAAATCTATATTAATAAAATTATAGTTTTCACTGAATTATATATTTTTATGGTTATTTTTACGTGTTATACATTAAAGAAGCCGAAACAAGTCTTATCTCAATTTGGCTGTTTGTCACGGCCCAGAAGGCATTTTACGCGGCCATCTCCGGAAAAACGAGAGTACATATCAAGATTCAAATCATTTTAATGTATTCACAGGATTGGCGTGAGTGTCTTTAGCTATTAAAATATGGTATCACTACTTTGTAAATATAATGGCCGATGTTAAAAAAAATCAAATTTTGTGCGTTTCTCCCCAGTTCCCCAAGTTTTCCCTAATGTTTATCACATACGTCATCCATGAAATAACGAACAGCTGTTAGTTTGAATCAAGGGTATTTTTTCTAGCTGTCACTGATAGGTTTACATTATGTTGTTTACAAATACCGCAACAATTTCTGATCACGTTAAAAAAAAAAAGTAAAGAAAATCCAAACCAAGTAAGATTAAAAACATTTGTCCTTACATAACGGATTTAATTAATCGCAAGTACAATAATGTGTAACCGCAAATGAAATTCAAATTAAATAACTTGGCATCATCCAGGTCAGGAACCGGAGATTACGCGTTATCGTTTACTTAGCATAAACTAACATTTTGGAATCCAGACAGAAAAAGCAAAACCTAAACAGTTAAGACATCAATTAAATTGAATACGCCTGTAATAAATAAGGTGCAACACCAACGATAACTAATTCGTAAATTACAGTCATGTGTTGGTACGTAAAAATGATTTTTGCTGCTACCAACGGTTCAAAGGAAAAGAACCAGTACCAAAAACCAACGTTTACAGTTAAGAACTATAGTACATCCGACCTTTTATATGCGTTAATCAAGGTTATTGATCTCGATCTCTTGGTTTTGGATTTTCTCGTAAAAAGTGATCGGCCTTATATAACAACTTTCTGTTATTTAATAGATTACGTATTCCCTAAACAATGATTGGTATATCTATTAGAATTAGAAGGAAATGTGACAAAAATCACACAACGTTGTGGTTTTGGACGTTTGTAATTTTATTTCTTAAGTAGGTAGGCCATGTATTCTAGGGACCGGTATCAAGGATCATCGTCGAAAAGGATGTTATAAATAATTGGGTAGGCGTACTTACCCAAGAGATGGGCTATGGGCCTATTGGCTGTATGGTCTAGCGATTGCATCTCACAGTGAGTAGAAACTATTGACTATATATAAGTCAATGGTAGGAACAGAAAGTGGCACATTGGAAAATCGAGTTTGGCATCATCCCTAAACCTCTGTTACAATCACCCACTGCAGTTGTGATTTTTTACTGTACACTTTACACAACAACCATTGAAGCGCCGTCAATGAGTGGAACCTTGTTTCTAAAGCTATTGGCGACGATCATTAATAACTTTAAGTTTCCCAGCCGTATACAACACTGATTCAATGTCGTCTTTCTGGTTATCAAAACTCAAGAACAATTTTATACACAAAGAATCTCTGGTTCATAATGCCTAGTTATTTAATTTAATTTACGGTTACACTATATTATTCCAATTGCCATTAACTATATCCTTTATGTAAGAAAAACGTTTTTAATCTCACTTGAATGGGATTTGCCTTCAAAACGTGATCGGAAATGGTTGCGGTATTTGTAAACAACATTTGTAAACATATCAGTGATAGCTATAAAAAATAATCTTGATCCGAACAGCTGTTCGTTATTTCATAGATGATTATGTGATAAAAATTGGACGAAAACTTGACAAAAATCGCACAAAACTGCATTTTTGAACGTCTGTAATTTTATTTACAAAGTAGTGAGGCCATATTTTAATGGCTAAAGACACTCTCGCCAATCCAGTGAATACATTAAAATGACTTGGATCTTGATAGGTACTCTCGTTTTCCTGGAGAAGATTGCGTAAAATGCCATCTTGAGTGTTACAGACTGACAGAAAGACAGACAGACAGAGATGTAGATGAGACTTGTTTCGGCTTCTTTAATGTATAAAGCGTAAAAATAACCTAAACATTTATGATTCTGAGCAATGTACGGACAAAACTCTAATTTTATTTATATAGATTTTAAAATTGATTTTTGATATCATGTCATGTTTTAAAATATAACGAAATCAGTGGAAAATCTTTTTATCACAGTAACTCTTTCAATCATTTCTTTGTTATTGAACTAGCCTATCTTATATCTATTTTACGGGTTGGTGTCTCCCTTTTTCACCATTTTTGCCTATATTTGATCATATTATACTAGACAGATTATCATAGGTTCATGAGATTATTGTCATACATGTTTTCAATCATTGGAAAAATCTTCGATTGTATAATACAATGCAAAATAATACAAGTGCAAAAGGGCACAGTGCCCATTTGAGCAGTGTCCATGTTTTGTTAAATTAATAGTAGTTTACAGTAACTGGATAAAACATTTTACAATAGTTATGTAGAAATATGTGCATGATTTAGAAAGTCATTAAGCTGGAAAACTGCAATATACTGCAGACTTTTCAGTGAGGTTACTTCGATGTATTCATTCAGCTAAAGTGAAAACATAATATAGATATGTATACAAATAATAACTTTAACTCTTAGAGAGCCTTTGAATGTTATGAGACTAACGAAAAGGGTTGTGGATGTTTACTAGCGCTACTCAGCAACAAAAACCATTTAATTTATCTCAAAAAAATATATTCTTAAAGTGCACTGAGCAGTAGCCTAAAAAAATCGATGCAACTTACCCATATAGTTACAAATGCTCAAACTCGCTGTGTGACATGTATAATTTAGCTTATATTTCTCCAACAGATAATTCGTCTGCAGAAGAATTTTATTGTTCTCTTACTTTACTTTTTTTGTAAGAGGACTACAACGAGGTTGATACACGTTTTCTTCCCTCACATTCAACATATCCGCCATGATCAAACACAATATGCATCAGATTTGAAGGATTTGCTTGCCAGTACGAGTAAAAGGTGGACTTTATGCATACTCATTTACTACTGTGATTTGAATCACTGTTGATTTACAGTAGACTCCCTCTTATCCGGACACGTCCTTTTAACCGGACATCGGTTTGACCAGACTACACTCGGTACAAGTGACATCTCTTTATCCGGATAATATTTATCAGCACATTGGTTTAACCGGACTAGATTGGTAGGAAATGGGCGGTACTGAAACGACTGTTCTCGTGGGAAAGATTTGAGACCAGTGATGGATTTGACCAGTCTAAATACAATGCTCTCCTAATTGTAACTCAAATACTGTATAGAGTATGCATTTAATCGGCCCGTTTTAACGAGATTTTTGGGATGTCGGTTTAACCGGAAAACGCGTCATCCGGACTGGCCTCGGTCCCGAGGAGTCCGGATAAGAGGGAGTCTACTGTACTTCTTACTCCAAGTAAAAGGTTTTGCTCTAGTTTTTATTCATATCTTGTGAAGGGTTTGCTCAAAATTTTACAAGTAAAAGGTTTTACTTCTTTTTATGCATACGGCCCTAATGCCACTAACCCCTTACCACAGACAGGTTTTTAATATAGGAATGGTTTGTGATAAACAAGTCAGGAAAATGTGTGAATGACCTTATTCCAGGTTTGGGCGGTTAGCGTTTATGTGAATTTATTTTTTCAGGATTTGTTACAAGTGCAAGAAAAGTTTTATCAAGACTGACGGCTGCAACAAGATGACATGTTCATGTGGAGCAAAGATGTGCTACATTTGTCGTCAGCCCATTCAAGACTATATGCACTTCAATGGTCCTGGTGGCGATCAAAATAAAAAGTTAGTGTATCCTAATAAATTACATTGTTACAGCATAATATTTAACGTTACTTTTTAACATAAAATTTTCTATTCAGATTAAGTGTATTATACTTAACTAGCTGTTGGGGCATGCTTTTGAAGTTTTTTTCAACAAAGAACTGGTTGAAGCTTCCCTTATAATAACAGCTATTAAAGATTAAATACATTGACCTATAATCACCTAAGCTAATAAAACATGTGACTACCAAAGTCAAGCTAATGGAGGACTTTTTCATTTGGAAGATTAACTGTCCTTCTACCAGGACCTTTATAATATCTTTCACCAAAATACTATTTCCGCTCCATCTCCCTTTGCTCATAACTAGGTGTGCGCTCATTCTTCCCATTCTATTTGAGTTTAATGATAATTAAATTTTCCAATCAAAAAAGATCAATACTTATACCATTTCAAATAATCGTCCTAAAAATAAAGAGTATATGATTGTGTTTAAAGTGTTATTGGACTATTTTTATTAATTTTCCGTAAGTAAAAGTCCTTAAATTCACAAAAAAATTAATATAAACATAGGTTTTGCAATCCCCTTAATCCCGGGATTAAAAGACACCAGTCCCGGGATTTCTAGGTGTCAAAAATCGGCCGAGATCCCGGGATTGAGACCCCTAATCTAGGCAAACTTAACTTATTCTTTGTGACTTTTTAGGCTTACCTTCGTCAGTAGTCCAAATTACGTCATAAACTTCATTTAATTAAAGCTTACATAGCCAGTCTACCTACAACCGCTGCTGTATAATGATAGCGCTATCATGTTGTTTCAAGAATGTATATGTTTCATGTGTAAAATTGTATGTTCTTGATGTGTAGCAAGCTCCGAAGATGTTGCTTTCCCACAAAACATGTAAGCCTTAATCAATTTAAATTTGATGTAATTTGGACTACTGACGGAGTAAGCCTAAAAAGTCTTTTTATCTTTGTTTGGGTGCAATATATAAAAATCTGAGTAAATGACAGCTTTTGGTTGACAAAGTTCTTTTAAACTTTTTGAGCTTTCAAAAGTCTGAGGGTATTTGGAAGCAATGGTTGGAAGTAAAGGTAAACGCTCAAAACAAATACCCTATGTTTTTTAGTGGACTATAGATACTACTATGAGTTGCTACTAAAGTCAATCCTTATATATAATACGTGAAGGCGATTTCTACGAAACACTACTCCTCCGTTAATAATTGACGGATTTTTACAAACGAGGTGTCAAAATTAAGTATTTTTTGTGTAGTCAAAATTGTCACAAATTCCTGTAATAAAAGTCTTCTGGCTTTGCCCCACAAGCCATCAAATTCAAATGTATTTCTTATGAGGAAAAGATTCTGTTTACTTAAACAGACGAATAATTTGTATTAATTACAGCTGTTCATAGTAAACACATGATACACACAAGAGAGTTCGTTTTCAGAGTTGGTTTGTTTTCAGTTTCGATAGATGGAGTGGAGTGAGCGTTCGTTATCAGAGTGAGTTTGTTTCGAGTTTCGATAACTGGAGTGGAGTGATTGATTACATTATCTTTGAGTTGTCTCTTTTAAGTCAACGGAAATTGTGACTGTTATTCGTAAAAAAAGCTTTTAATATTTTGCAATTGCTCGAATTCAAGCAACAGGTGCACTAGTATTTTATAAATCATGTTATAATGTTTCAGATGTCCACTTTACTCTACTGAGAAACTCCTTCATGTGGATGCTGTTACGGCGGTGGCCAAGAAAGCCTTGGAAGAAGTAACTTCTAAAAACCCTGAGTTGAAATTGAAATATGATCCATCTACACTGTTGCCCAGTGCTAAGTCAGCCAACACCTCTCTCCCTCCAGGAGTCAATGAGGAAGCAGACCGAATGTTAATGGTACTAAACAGACTGCAAGAAGCCATCACACATGGTGCGTTTATTAACATTTTTATTTAAACAGTTTCCTTTTTTACACCCACACTCTAGATTTAGGGTACCGGTACTTGAATTTAGTAAATCTGTTGTGTAATGTACTGATGCTGAATGTTTTAATGTTGCCATGTGATGTGCTGCTTGTCACTCAATGTATCTGAACTTATTGATTTTTAACTGCCTTGTTAGTTATGAGGAGTAGTGTACTGCTATTGTAATAAACGTTATAAGCAAACTGACACATACTTTCTCCCAATAGCTTGACATGGAATTGTCATGGGTAGAGAATAATAGAAAACAAGCAATTCACTGTTATCTACAACAACAAAGCTAAAGAAAAAAGAGTTAAAAGAATCAATTAACAGTGCTAAACAAACATTTTACCAAAATAAATTTAGAAAATCTAGGAAGAGAAGTGTTTGTAGATGGAATATAATAAAAATTGAGATATCACTATAAAATCAAAACAAAATGTCCCCTCAACATTATTTTATTTAAAAAATTATAACCTAATAACAGATCCTTTTGCTGTGAGTAAGCCCTCTTTCATACCAGCGCGGTGCGGGACCGTCCCGCACCGGACGAAGATTGAATTGAATTGAAAATAACTTTATTCATCAATCTATGGGAGCTTTCACACCAATGCGGGTTCACCCGAACAAACCCAAACCCCTGTCCGGGTTGAAAAATCACCTGCACAAACCTAAACTTCCAATACAGGACGGGACCGGATGGCTAGTTTTTAAGATCATGGGCTCATATGTACGCTTTCATACTTGCGCGGGACGGGCTGGTTCACCCCCACATAAAATTTAACACTGATAAACGCAGACTGTTAAAACTACTGATTCAATCAGTAGTTTTAACAGTCTGCGTTTATCAGTGTTTTAGTGTGGTTTATTTTGCAGTACCCTTGTTAACTCAATAGGGTTTGTTCTTTTCGATATGGAGGAAACAATTCATATCGACCACTTGATTAGTTTGGACAAGAATTATATTATGGTTTTGACAAGAATTATATTTTAGTTTGGACAAGAATTATATTTTAGTTTGGACAAGAATTATATTTTGGTTAGGACAAGAATTATATTTTGGTTTGGTCAAGAATTCTATTTTGATTTAGTCAAGAATTATATTTTGGTTTGGTCAAGAATTATATTTTAGTTTGGTCAAGAATTATATTTTAGTTTGGACAAGAATTATTTTTTGGTTTGGTTTGAAGGCAAGTGACGAGGAAGTGGTGATGGTGTGATATCCCCGCCCCAGCAAACCATCTTCCATTTGCATGGTTAAATTTGTACAACAAATCTTATTGGCCTTCTTTCACACCAGCTTATTTTAGACCGGCTTATTTGGGTCCGCGCGGGACCATCCTATATTGTTGTCCTTATTGTTAAATGACTTAATTAACAAGGGAGTATTGTGCTTAATTTTAGGTTGCATAACCACCTTTATTTTATTCATTTCAATTAAATACACCAAAAAATCACAAAGTTTCAGCCTGTAGACACCCGGACCTGGACAGCTGGTGTGAAAGGGCCTTCCGGGGTGTCCCGCATCAACGGCACAGGACGAACCCGCACCGCACTGGTGTGAAAGAAGGCTAATGTTTTCAAAAATGTCTTCATAACTGCTGTAAAAAGCTTATTTTGCTAAACATTGATTCAATATTGAATAACAAAATTCTCACCCAAAAAATTGTGACTTACCATGACAAATGTGTTAAAATTTGAAACAATAACAGAAGAGAATCTTTAAAAAGTTGTGCTTTCATTTGAAAATAAAATTTCTTCTGGGCATGATGAAATACCAATTCCTCTAATTAAAAAAATCACTACTTTTCATATCAAAACCATTAACACACTTAACAAACTCCTCTCTCATTTCAGGCAAATTTCCGTCCAAATTTAAGTTGGCTAAAGTTATTCGCATATTTTAAAAAAGGTAATCCTAAAGACAACCATGCTATTGCCCCATCTCAATTTTATCTGCCTTTTCCAAAATTCCATCATTAACGTATTGGCGGTCGTGTAGACATCATAATCGTATCCCACAATCACGATAAAATTTTGATCATTTCCCACGTCCATAAAGACATCCAATACGGCGGACATCTAGCATCACCTGTAAAGTGCTCCCATATTTACAGTGTAGTTTTAGTGGAAAAAAATAACAAAATTACTAATTAAACAGCAAAATCAAAACAACCATGTGTCCGTGAACACGATAACTGGAGTAAGTTTTGTCCGATTTTGACGAAATTGTGTTTAAAGGTGTAAGGCGGGATGGATTTGAATGAGTTCGCAAACCTGCATGATCGGACTATGGGAACGGGGTTTTACAGGGGGTTTTATGGGGAGAAAATAGTTTTTCCCTACAGTCACCCGACAAAGTTGGCTTCCTTGTACTGTTTATAGTACAGAAAGCTGCTAATTGCTGCATATTTATACTTTGTCGTACGGTTTATACTTTGGCGCACATCAGGATTCCAACAAAACAACACAAAACAGCGTGGTTCTATTATGCACGTAATCCATGTACGCTTGGAAATAGGTTGGCAACATTTAAAGATAACATTTTTTACGATCTTAATAAACAAGAAAATACCTTTAAAGCATTTTTTTAGGCACGGAAACCACTTCAAATTACAAAAACATACGGAACTATATTCTCAAGTCGCGGAGCACATTTCTTGCCGAGGAAAAAATAGCGGAGTGATACGGACGGGTACTACTTTCTCTAGGGCACCTATTTGTGTTGCCAGCTGAACCTTAAAACGTGATGTATAGTGTTTGAAAGACTAATTATTTATATGCTTTATAGTGACTTTAGGAAAAATATAATGTGTAACACGAGTGCAAAAGGCCTGCAATGTTACATGTCATATAGCCCATTCACTTCATTCATTCTTTAGTTATATAAATTTACTCCTTTGATTGTACTAAAATTCGCCATATAGCCTATTTAAATAAATTGTCAGAAAATTCATAGCAAATTTAAATTATATTATTCTTTAATCACCCCTCAGAAACCATCATCACATTTTAAAATATATTGTATATATTCAACAAATATTATTGTTAAATAAACCCTGTAACCTGTAATTAAGTCCATAGTTGCAATAACACTTTTATCCAAAATTATTAATATAGTACAAATTATTTCTAAAACCCCAACATTAAATTAATATCCAAAAGCCTGATTATTAGTGCATGTGCAAGTGATGAGAAAGAAGACAGCTGGCTTCAACAATGAACTGATCAACATCCTGTGTGAAATTAAAAATTTTCCTCCTTTTCTATTGGGACATGGCAGCATCAACACCTTAAATTCAGTGAGGGTATAATCAAGGCCGCACTAGATATACAGGCCGTGCTGCTACTTGTGTGACGTCACAACTGTAGGCGGTCCCGCGGCCGCTACACACATAGGCGCTTATACGTTTTTACAACTGCAGTTAGTTCCCACCGTGATTTGAACAATTAAATGAAGTCGTATTATAATATAATTTTGCAGTAATGTTTTATGTTAGTGTAGCGTAGTGACTAGCTAGTTTTTTATTCGTATAATAATGTTTGTGTATATTTAAAATAACAAAACATATTTACTAGTTAGGCTACTATTTGATGCAAAAGTTGTAATATCATTGTTTTCATTACTGTATATGCGTATTATTTAGTACACTGTTATAATAAAGTTACGTATAGATAATGGGGAATAAAAAAAAACAATTTCAGTCTCAACTTGTTTTTAATCTGTACAAGACAATCTTTTATCAACTCTTATTACAAAGCTTATCTAGCTTACGTTTTTTGGTACACTTCTTTCCTTCCTCGATTATTCGTTGTTTTTTCATTTTACTATAATTTTTCAGTAAAATATTACAGAATGTTAATAAACATTTTTTAAACAATGGGGTTATATCTTTACCACAAGAAATACATACCTCAACATTTGTGCTGTCGAGAACATGGTACATTACCGACATTAGTACCTTTCTCTGACATTTGCACTTCAAAAATGTACTTTCATATCTTTCACCAATAATAACTTTAAAAACCTTTAAACCAGTAATCAATGTATTTATGATGAGGTCAGAGGGATATTGTAAATTGCCCCTATCTATCACGGTAAAATAATAAGACATTGTATGTGAGTTGAGGATTGTTTGCTTATCGATTACAACAAATTTAGATTTACAACAGTTACATTGAACATTTTTTAATAATTTATGGCAAATGTACCCTCCTATGTAGGTAATACCGACAACATCATTTTCGGAAATATCAGCCCTTTCTAACTCATGAGAAATATCTTCAAATTCTGAAACATCAAAATAAAGGTTTGTTTCCCCTTCTGGTCCCTCAGTTTCTTCTACACTAAAATCCCTTATCTCTACTTCCCGATTTTTAGCAGAAAATACCTTTATAATGCTAAGAGTTTTAAGCTTCTTTTCTGATTCAAGTACTTGTGAAACAGATATATTGTAACTAGCACCACTCATTTGACGATACTGTCCAAACCTAGCCTCTAAATCGTCTGTTTGGAACTTTCCTAGCAAAACATACTTAAAGTGTAAAGCATTAAATAAACATTCTACAATTTCTAAAACTGTACTGACGGTATGTTTAAGTGCAAACTGTGTGTCAAGTGTGAGTTTTCCATTTCTTTTTTTATTATTTGCTAACTCTCCTTGGACCAAAATATTATTCCATTTCTCTAACCAGACTAAAAATGATCTTAGAAATAACATATTCTCATGATCTACAGTGTTTATTGCTTGGCAATCTCTATCATTAAACCTTGCTCCTTTGAAAGCATGATTTACATTAACTATTTTCCACCACCTAAGTACAATTTCTAAAAAGCTTATAGTACCATCCACATTGCTACTCTTGTGTTCTAGCTGATATTGCTTTAGAGCGGCTACATTTTTTTGATCAAACAATTTAGCACATAAATTTACATTTTGCCTCTCCAGAGAAGTAGGGAACAATA